AGCTTCCATAAGTGGGTCAAAATGACCCGCATGCATTTTCTATGGGATTTTTTTTTTTTTGAAAATGTAAAAAAAAAAAGTCTAAAATAGTGAAAAATTCAATATAAAATATTTCTAGTGTGAACCAAAATATAATACTAAATATTATACAAGTGATTCTTCTTAACCAAAATGGCATAAAAACACATTATTCTAATACGGGTCCTTTTCGACCCACTTATGGAAGAGAGAGTAGGGTCCAGGCACTCTGGCTTTATACGGGTTAATACGCTTTTATCTTTTCAACTTTGACTTTATAATCTCAGATAATTCCATTTATCGCTCTGTACACCTTCTGGATTACAGTCTTATTGATGGGCTTAATGAACCACCCTTTTTCTTGAATGTAACCCAGCAGTGTGTGTTGTGTTTCCTTTAGGACCCGTACAGCATGCTGAAGCCCAAAGAGTACGCCGGCTCCAAGGCCGACCCTCACATCGTGCCCTCCATCACCAGCCAGAGGATCGTGGGATGCGTCTGTACGTCAACTCCTTCATTCTAACCTTTCTACATTTAGATAGATGATGAAGAACCGTTTATTTACCCCCTAGTTCAGGGGTCTCAAACTCAAGGCCCGGGGGCCAAATCCGGCCCGCGAATTCATTTCATGTGGCCCCGCAAGAGCTCTGAAAGAATATAATAGGTTTATTATTCGGTTACATGCCACTTTACGGAAGCAGTTTGTCCATAAACTACATGTCCCACAATGCATCTCGTTTTGTGACATAAGCAATGAAGAGACTTGCAATGATTTGCGCTGGACTCCTGCTTTCAGACGAAGTTAATTACTAAGTTATTATCCTATCCCATAATAATCCAATTCAGAGGCAATCATGTGATATAATATATTATATTATATATTTATATAGTGACAACCGGCCCTTTGAGTGCGGCCTTAATGCTGATGAGACCCGTGATGAAATTCAGTTTGACCCCCTGATGTAGAGAGATTCAGCTTTCACTCTGGTTTACTTTGTTTAATACACACAGTGATAGGGCTGCTCGATTATGGCAAAAATCATAAACTCGATGATTTGGGTCAATAATTGATATCACGATTATTAAAAACGATTATCCATTTACTTTGAAAACATCCATCTATTTGAAAAAGAAATGTGAACAGTATGTTTTTAACAGTTGATTACCTTGAACTTTAATAATTCAACTGAAAAACCAATAATAAAATAAATAATCGTTTTATTTAGATTATGTTGTTTTCATAATCGAAGCAAGCCAAAATCGTAATTGCGATTTAAAATAGGATTAATTGAGCAGCCCTACACAGGTATACACTCCAACAGGGCGCAGTTTGAGGTTCGGGCACCTCTCCAGCTCCACACTGCGAGATTAGTGGATCAAATACTTTGATAAGATAATCAAATGACTCATTCCAAATTCAGGGACACGAAGGACAGCTGACTGGGATTGAACCAGTGATCATAAGATCAGCACACTCTCCACTGAGCCACAGGCTCCCAACATGTTTTGTCTCTTAATGGTTTGGCAGCCACGTGTCTCACGGTCTCGTTGTTTGTCCCTGGACGAGCCCGGAAGCCCCCAAAATCAAATGGGTTTCATCCCCTACGCTCCCAGGCTGTGGAGCACCGATAAGAGAGAGGGGAACTCAGTGGACCTCCAGCTAAAGACATCTTTTTAGACCCCAACCCCCCACTCTAAATGTTCTTTTAGTCTTTATTAATTAACTACTTTGATATTTTTTGATAGGTACCTTAATGTTCACTTTGTTTAGGGGGTTTTATATTGTTGCATGGACTCAGTCGTCTTGTCTGTCGGAGAGAAATCATTATTTATTTGTGTATTCTGACCTTTGACCTCCTCGTGTCTCTAACCTGTTTCCTGTTTCTGTAAAGCTCTTCTGATCTGAGGGGATTTCTTGTTGTTTCTTTCTCACTTAAAGTGAATTTAAGAAATGATTGCAGGGTAATTCTCATTAATGTCTCCCTCTCTCTCTCTCTTTCTCTCTCTCTCTCTCTCCCCCTCTTTCTCTCTCTCTCTCCCTCTCTCTCCCCCTCTCTCTCTCCCCTCTCTCTCCCTCTCTCTCTCTCTCTCTCCCCCTCTCTCTCTCTCTCCCTCCAGGTGAGGAGGACAACACGGCGGTGGTGTGGTTCTGGCTCCATGAAGGAGAGGCTCAGCGCTGCCCCTCCTGCGGCTCTCACTACCAGCTGGTGGCCCACGAGCTGCCTCACTAACTACCATCATCATTGTTATTACACACACACACACTCACACACTCTTCTACCTGTTGTTGTTGTTATCGGCGTGTTACTCAGTGACCTCACTAAACTCCATGTTACACAGGGATCAATATGCTAAACATTTCCATTCAGCAGTTTACACCCAACATGTACTGTACCTTTTAAAGAACCAATAAAATCCTCACTCTTACACCTGGCTGCCGTATGTGTTTATATTTATAAAACGGTGAAATCAAGCGATCTGATTGGTTCTTAGCCGTGATATAAGTAAGGGATAATGTGCAGCGAGGCGGTCATTATGGGTAAAAGAACACCTGACAGGCAGGTCATGTGATCTGCATGAAGGGTGTTATTTGCTACACGAAGCAGTTGCTACGTTGTTCAAACGGTGACAACGGACTATTTTTGATCTGCCTGACGGGTGTTCTTTTACCCATAGTGACCGCCTCGCTGCACGTTATCCCTCACTTAACTTCGACCTCCGGGGTGGCCTCACTAAGGAGGAGTGGATTGAGCACTAGTGCCTATCTCCAGAGGGCATCTAAACGACGACATGCAGAGCTACGTGAAGAGCAGGTAGACCAACTGGGAAACAACCGAAACGGACAGAACACCGTGAAGCAAACACAATGGGCAGTTCAGTGCTTTGAAGACTGGTGTCAGGATAAAGCCGGTCACAGACTTTCAGAAGTCGACAAAACAGCAGCTCAATAACATGTTGAGAGATTTCTTTGCAACTCAAATCATAACATCAACGCTCTCTAACATGTTCGCTAGCTGTTAGTGTTGTTGCCTAGCAACCACCTCGCACTATGTTTCGTGCAGAAGGCAACGGAGGGACTATTTTATTTTGAACATCATTTATTAATAAAACTGTTTAAATTGGAGTGTTTTTATTTCACATTGCCACACTTGGTAACCGTTTTATAAAAGCAATAGCTCACTTCAGGCCGTGATAGCTGCTCATATCACAGCTAAGGGGTTAATTATACATGTGTGTACAAATATTGTGTCGTAGAAGTACTCGGATATTGTACTTAGAAGTACTCAGATCTTGTACTTGAGTAAGAGTAGAAGTACTCAGGTGTATCATATACTTGTTTTTGACATCGATTACAAGATAATTGTGTAATACGCTGATGCTTTATTAAACAGTTTTTAAGGAGGAATAAATGCATTTATTTATTCATTCTTTGAATTAAACCACAGCTGCAAACACGAGGTCAATGATTGAAATAAAAGCAAACATTTTCTTTGTTTTATATTCAATGAAAGTGACTATAAGTGAGAAGAAAAACATTTAGAGACTTCACGTAGCTATATGGGATTTTTTTAAAACCATTTTCTTACATTTTATAAACCCAACCATTCATCTAAAAAATAATTTGCAAAACTAGTTGATAATAAGAAAAATGCTGTTTTTTATTCTAAAGACATCACCGTAAATATTGTGACGCATTTTAGTTAAAACCTTCGTTAAGTATTACATTGAATGTTATCTTTTAGTATTTATATTAAAAACACCTGTAACCTTTGACCACCAGAGGGCGCCAGATACTAACAAATCAACCTCTGCTCGAAATCTTTAAGCTTTGATTGTTAACTTGTTTTATAATTAAACATAACATATACTTAAAGGTTGCCCTTGCAGCCAGTAGTGCAAATAAACGAAGTACTTTCACTCAACTACTGTACTTAAGTAGATTTATTAGTAAAAGTAGAAGTACTCAGAGTACAATACTTGAGTTAATGTACTGAGTTGCTTTACTCCTCTGGTATTAAATAGGATAACATGGAAATACTTAAGTAAAGTACAAAGGAATCGGCTTCACAATATACTTACTGCTATTTATGGTGTTTTTTTTGTCTTCATCAGTTTGTTGAATCCAGACCTTCCTCATAGATCATGAATCTGCCGTTAGTCTCTTTGCTCCTTCCTCTCTTGAGCAGGACGGATGATTCTGATGAGAAGAGAATCAGAGCATGAACTCTGTCCTCGAACGGAGAAACAGGACTCTTTAAAGTAGAGACACTACACACTGATGTATACCTGGGGCCGTATTCACAAAGCATTTTATCTTACCGCTAGGAGTGCTCCTAACTCGCGCTAAAACATTTTACGTAGGAGTTTTTTCTTAAAAGTTATTCACAAAGCCGCTGAGACCTACTCATACTAAGGATAAATCACTAAGAGTGAACTAAGAGTGACGCGCCGTTGCTATGGATGACGTCGATTCTCGTGCATGAGTTTAGAAGCGGTCAGTACGGTGATTGGTTGTTCAGAGTAGGCGGTCTCGGTGAAACTCATCCGCAACATCCCACAAACGAGCCCACTAAATCACCGAAAAACAAGGA